CAAATACTTTGGCCACCTAATGAGAAGGAAGGACTCCCTGGAGAGGAGTCTAATGCTGGGAACAATAGATGGCAAAAGTATTTGAGTTTCATCTTCAGCATCTGGCCTTCTAAAGAGCAGTCAGGGTTGATCTCCTCTAGGACTGACCGGTTTGATTGCCTTGCTGTCCAAGGGACTCGCAGGAGTCTCCGCCAGCTCCACAATTCAAAGGCCTCAATCCTTCAGCACTCAGCCTTCCTTATGGTCCAACTTTCACAGCCATGCATTGCAACTGGGAAAACCATAGCCTTGACTATACTCACTTTTGTTGGCAGGGTGATGTCTCTGCTTTTTAGTATGCTATCTAGATTTGCCATAGCTTTCCTCCCCAGGAGCAAGCATCTTTTAATTTCTTGGCTGCAGTCCCCATCTTAAAGGAACGTTTGCTCCCATATATGCCCTCCCGCCCCTTGAAGTCAGCAGCAGATGCCCTTCTCCGGGAACCATCTGTGAATGACATCAGGAGGGTGAGTACCCCATTTATGGAATGCATTTATGGAATGCGCTCCCCAGAGAGGTCCGCCTGGCGCAGTTGTTATTTGTTTTTCGGCGCCAGACTAAGACCTTTTTATTTAAAACTTATTTTAATTGTTAATTTATTCATTTAACTAGGGTTTTTTTGTTTTTAGTTTTTTTAGCCGAGAATGCACTGAGGTTTTACTGAGGTTTTATTGAGGTTTTATGGTACTGGGGTTTTAATGTATGGTTAACTTTTTTTGATGTTGTGAGCCGCCCCGAGGCTTATTGCGATGGGGCAGCATAGAAATGTTTTAAATCAATCAATCAATCTGCGGTGATCTTGGAGCCCAGGAAAATAAAATCTGTCACTACCTCCATTTCTTCCCATCTATTTGCCAGGAAGTGAGAGAACCGGATGCCACGATCTTAGTTTTCTTAATGTTGCATTTCAAGCCAACTTTTGCGCTCTCCTCCTTCACCTGCATCAAGAGCCTCTTTAGTTCCTCTTCATTTTCTGCCATGAGAGTGGTATCATCTGTATATCTGAGGTTGTTGATATTTCTCCCAGCAATCTTAATTCCAACTGGTGATTCATCTAGCCCCGCCTTTCTCATGATGTGTTCTGCATATAAGTTAAATAGGCAGGGTGACAGTATACAGCCTTGCCGAACTCCTTTCTCAATTTTGAACCAATCAGTGGTTCCGTGTCCAATTCTCACTGTTGCTTCTTGACCCGCTTATAGGTTTCTCAAGAGCCAAATAAGATGGTCTGGTACTTCCATCTCTTTAAGAACTTGCCACAATTTGTTGTGATCCACACAATCAAAGGCTTTAGCATAGTCAATGAAGCAGAAGTAGATGTTTTTCTGGAACTCCCTAGCTTTCTCCATGATCCAGCATATGTTGGCAATTTGATCTCTAGTTCCTCTCCCTCTTCGAAATCCTGCCTGTACTTCTGGTAGTTCTCGGTCCACATACTGCTGGAGCCTAGCTTGTAAGATTTTGAGCATCACTTTGCTAGCATGTGAAATGAATGCAGTGGTGTGGTAGTTTGAACATTCTTTGGCATTGCCCTTCTTTGGGATCAGAATGTA